TCCCTTCCAAACCAAACCATGCTGTAGTTACCCGGGGAAGAGGCACTCGAGAACATGCTCCGAGGTGCTGTGAAGAGCAGAAAGTCTCACCAACCATGTTTGGGGAACGCGGCAGCATGAGAGCAAGCCAGGGCAGATGCTGAAAACCAGCGCAGGAGATTGGTAATCCCATAAAACACATCCCGGTTGAGGCTACTCCAGCTGTGAAGCGCTTCCAGCTCCAGAGGTGCCAAGTGAAATTGAGCAGGTTGAGGGAGGGGATTCTCTCCCTCTGCTCTGCTCTGGTGAGACCCCACCTGGAGTGCTGCGTCCAGCTGTGGAACCCTCAATATCAGAAGGAGATAGACTGGTTGGAGCGAGTCCAGAGGAGGCCACCAAGATGCTCAGAGGGCTGGAGCCCCTCTGCCATGATAAAAGGCTGAGAGAGTTGGGCTTGTTCAGCCTGGAGAAGGGAAGGCTCCGGGGAGATCTTATAGCACCTTCCAGTACCTGAAGGGGCTAAAAGGAAGCTGGGGGGGACTTTTTACAAGGGCCTGTAGTGACAGGACAAGGGGTAACGGGTTTAAATTGAAAGTGGGGAGGTTTAGATTAGATATCAGGAAGAAATTCTTCCAGGAGAGGGTGGTGAAGCACTGGAACAGGTTGCCCAGAGAAGCTGTGGATGCCCCATCCCTGGAAGTGTCCAAGGCAAGGCTGGATGAGGCTTGGAGCAACCTGGTCTAGTGGAAGGTGTCCCTGCCCATGGCAGGGGGGGTGGAACTAGATGATCTTTAAGGTCCCTTCCAACCCAAACCACTCTATGATTCTGTGATTCTAGGTGCAGACCCTGAGCGTGTCAGGATCAGATTTGGGTTCAGTATGTGGATTCAAGTAAGAAAGTAGGAAAGTTGGATCCTGATGCCCAGGAAAGAAAAAGCAACATAAAAAGGGCAAAATACAGAGAGGGAATTAATTAGGGAGAGCGTGTAATTTAGCTAGCGGGACAGGATTGATTTCACAGTGAGATTTCACTACGGTGTTCACAGGGGCTGGTCCAGAGCATGCGCCAGGGTCAGGACAAACACCGGTGAGAAACAAAAAGCAGGAACTTACGCAACTCCTTTGCATAAAAATACACGTTGTCCGAACAATCTTCCGTTTTCACAATTAAAATAACTGAAAAGGGGGTGCGATTATCCTGTTCCAAATCCCAGTCGCCTACATCCTGACACACCCTCATGGAAGAGAAGAACCACTAAACACTAAGCATTCAGTTGTTGTCTTTATTACATGAGAGCGAGCAACGGTCCGTGCTCCAAGCCACGGAGGGCTGAACCGTTACCTCCAGCTTGCGACGGCCCCAGCACGGAATTAATTCACGTGGCGTGTCACTGCCGGAGAAATCCTCAGCGAACGGGGTGAAAATCCTCCAAAAGCTCTCCTATTCTCTTCTTGTCTGCAAAGGGTGGAGGTGGGAAAAACCTCATCACCACTGGAAAATCGTATTAAAAATCTCCGGGAGCAAAGCGTTAGGGTTAACAAAGCCACCAAAAATCTCATTTTTGCTACCAACAGCGAGCTCTCAGCTTGCCCCGTGCACTAAACACGTAACCGTTTTCCTCCTGTGGAGAGATCTCAGCATCAACACTTCATTTCCACAGATTCCTTCCGACGTGGCACGATGCAGATCGCGATCCAACCGCCAGTCACCCGCCTGTATTTTATCAGAAAACGGACCGTTTTCACCCAGATTCGCCAGCGCGTTGCTGGGCTTAGTGACTACGGTCAGTAAAACGCTGTTCTTCTCCAAGGCCAGCGGCACCTCGGGTTTCCTGTCTTTGCTATTTATTCTTTTTTTCACCTGGGCTGCTCGTTTTCATAATCCTGCCATTTTTTAAAATCGACATGCACTGCAATTTCACAAGAATAAACAGCAAAACTGTGATTTTTCAGAAGAATAAACCCCATGATTTCTAATCTTCCTTTCTTACTTCGTTTCTCCTTCACTGGCACATTATTTTCTTTGGCTCTGCTGTTTTTATCTTAAAATACGCTTTTAGGAGGAAGAGTTGGTCATCAAGGAAGCTGATCAGCTCAACAAAAGTATTTTTCATACTATAAAATCCTTAAGACTGCTGCAATTTCCATTGTGAATAAGCAGGGAAGAGTTAGCAGTCAGTATTTTCTAGAAAAGAACAGATTCTGCAAGCAGCCCCGCATCAGCTTTACACACAGAAGCACGTATAAACGGATACGTTATGGCCGGGTTTCTTAAAAACCTTAAAAACACAACTTTCTTAAAATAATGAAAACCCCAACCCATTGTACCTGCTGCCTTAAAGTCTGCCGGGTGCTGCCTGACGTACTCCAACAACTCCCTGTCCAGCTTGGCGTGTATGTACTCCGCACGTTTCACAAGGTAATAGCCAACAAACCATCCCACGGTGGTGAACAGGATCTGGCGGTGAACGCCTGCAGCAGGAAGAGGAATGTTCCCCTGGCTCAGCCCGGACACTCTGGCCCCACACGCCCCAGCTCCTCTCTCCCTGCTTTGGTCCCCTCGGGTCCCTGCAGCACCCTCACCTCCAGACGTCCCGTGGTGCCCACCAGCACCCCCAGGAAGCACCTCCTTGTCTCAGAGTCCTTCCCGCCCCCCCCGTATGCCTCAGAGTCACCTCAAATCCCCTCCACTCCCACATCATGCCCCTTCCCCAGCCCCCTTCGTTACCTCCAAGACCCACTGCCAACAGACCCCTCACCTCCGGGCTCCCTCCCCTTCGCTCCCATCCCTGTATCCCTCACAGGCACCCGAAATCCC